ACCGCTTTCTAGGTGGACGCTCTACCAACTGAGCTACAGAGGCATGAAGAAATTGCCGACGAAATGTTCTCTACATTGCTTATACTGTAATTCACATGATTACTAAGTATTTGTTTTGTTTACATTGATTGCTACATACAATCTACTATTAAAACACACAATAACAAGAACATATATAATTATAGGATTGTGTCTATTGCACTACTTAAATTATGAATTTTACTAATACAACATCATAGTTGCGGAATTAATCAGAATGTGCTTATTGCACTACTAATTTATCTTAATGGAAATTTCTTCATGCAACTGCAGAACAGATGGATGACGTAATCAAAGGAACGAGTTAAAGGCAGAAAAATTATTAAAAAATTTTTCTCCTCGAACTGGACTCGAACCAGTGACCTACCGCTTTCTAGGCGGACGCTCTACCAACTAAGCTACAGAGGCATGAAGAAATTTGCGAAGGAACAATTTGTGTAACTCATAGTCACAAATTTTTGTTGTTCTATTTAAAAAACATTTACTGTAAACATGACTTGTAAGTGTATATAATCGTTAACAAAATATATTTACAAATATCTTACTGTAGTATTATCTTGTAAAAATAACTTTCAATATGAAAACACAAATGCAATGTTACAGCGTGTATATTATGTAAATATGTAATTACCTTTACAAATCTTATACGGACGTAAATTTACATATTGCAGACAAAGTGACTGTCATGTTACGTTTACTTAACACTCATGAATATAACTTTACTAAATGTGTACAATGCCAAAAATAATTATTGAAGTTATATATATTTTGAAAAGTGACAAACAACATGTGATTAAAATTTTAAATAAAAATATAATAAATACAAAAAAAAAATTAAGGAAAATTTCGAAACCGTTTAATTGAACGTTTTCTTACTATAGAAGAGTATAAGAATGTTAACAATTGTTAAAAGAAAATACTTCGAAATATTTTCAACACAGCAAAGTTTGCAAAAGAATGCTTTAATTAAAAATACTTTCAATTCTTTGAGAAAATTTAAGTTCTCAAAAGAATCCACTTCCATTGAGTAACATAACTAAATCAACATTCACTCGATTGTGAATGTTTTTTTGACATCTGTTTTTGACAGTATCTGTTTTTGACAGTAAATATAGAATCTGAGATTTGTAATGAAAGTCTTAATGAAACAAAAGAAGAAGAAATAGAATTTTAAAACAATCTTTCACTAATTGAAGAATTAAAAAACTGAGCTTTAAATGATTTGCTTCAAATTTTAAAACTAAAAAGCAATACCCTGCACTTCGTGAAGGGTATATTAACTTTAGTATGAACTTTGTAACTACTTGAAGGAGTTATCAGCGGTATGGACATATATATATGTATATTCTTGCTCAGTGTAAAATTCTGCGTTGATTTAGACTTGTCCGTCCTTTCGTCCGTCCGTTCGTTCGTCCGTTCGTTCGTCCGTCTAATGGCACGATAACTCAAAAACGAATAATGTAATCGGCACCAAACTTTCACAAATTGCTTCTTTTGTGCCAAGGACGAACCCTATTGTAATTGGACTAATTCGGACAACGGGTTCGGGTAGCTGCCATGTAACTCAGAGAGTTTATTTTAAATATTTCAAAAACTAATAAAGGTATAAATATAAAATTTTGTATACATGTGTCCAATTATATTCTACACAGGCTCTAAAAATTTTAATGGGATAGCTGCACTGTTTCGGGTGGCTGGCATACAGCTTCAAAAGCAATTTTTTTATATTCGGAAAAATAATAAAGTCAGATTCATAAAACTTGGCAGTTGTGTGTCCATTATAGATCAGATATATTTGTGAAGTTTTAGTGGAATTGCTTTACAGGTTAAAGTAACTCCCATAAAAGTCCAAAAGCTAATTCTAAATAATTTGAAAAATAATAAAGTAGATTCATGAAAATTGGCAGTTGTGTGTCCAGTTATAGGTCAAACATATCCGCGAAGTTTCTATAGAATGGTTTCACAGGTTTGAGTAATTGCTATACAACAACGAAAGGTGCAGGGTATAATTCAATCGGTTTATACCGACTGAAACGTTTTTACTTGTTAATTATTTTTTTCGTTTTTTTAGTTTCTAGTATAGGATCGGGGAGTATGTTTTTTGAATTAAGTCGGCAGGAGTTTTGGTTCCCAAATGTGATATTATTACAGAGCTTTAAGAGTATAAAATTTTTAAAATTATAGAAAATCTACTTTAAAATAAATAATATCACCCAAAAAGTTAAAAAAAACTAAACTCAAAAACAAGGGTTATTCAAAATTAACATTAATAATCAAAAAATAAAAATTATTTAAACCTGAAAAACTTAACACAGTTTCGTTTTACGTATAATTTTTAGGGTCCGTCACTGTACTTTAACAAGAAACAAAAACTGTTTTCACAACTATTACGTTTACAATTCACACACATAAAGAGTACTAATAAGGTAATCAAAAATATGTATTGTACAATAATGTATCATTTGCATATCAAGTGTACAAAATAGAATATTCGGTGTTTCCACACTATCCTATTTTCAATTATTAAAATTGGACATAAATATTTAGGTATATTCAAAAGTATAACAAATTTTTAAAAAATTAATTATTTATTTGATTATCTGACTGTTTTGGGTGAGAAAATTATACACATTGTTATTGAAATTCACTTAACCTGTGAATAAAGAAATAATTAAATATTTTAAAATTTGATTTTTTTATATCAATATTGGTGTTAGACATATCCACTTATGAATTAGTTCGTTCAATCTTTTTTGTATTTCAACAAGATAAAGAAAATTTTTAGCATTGCAAAATAACATTGAAAAATTATAGCGAAATATCAAAATTAGAGAGAACATAGAAGAAAATATTGAATCCAATATTTTTTCAAAATTTCTTTTGGAGAATCTCCGCAAATTTTTCCAATATTCAAATACATATGCTGTTTAGATAAGATTTTTGATAGAAATTTGCGAGATGAAAAACTAAAATTTTATTCATATTAATAAATATCTTCTTAAAAAATAAAAAAACTAAATAGTAAAAAGAGTAAATAGCAAAAATTATTAAAAGAGTTATATTATACAGTAATTCGTTCTTAGTTGAAAAGCAAATTGAAGAGTTTTTCGCGTTTTTAATTTGTATATGTATATAGGCAAACATTTTTATAACAAGTAAAAGTAATGGAAATGCTATAGGTAAATAAGAATAAAGACTTAGATATTTTTCCCTTCAAATCTTATATAAAAAATTTCTCTTTGTTTTCATCAACTCTGACAGTGCTAATTCAACTCGTGAACGTTCATATGCAGTTTAGTAACAAAATGCTTACTTATCGTTTGCATGTAAAGTTTACATAGGCAAAAGCCGGCCATCTTAATTTTAATTATTTTTACCCATGATGAAAATAAATATTAAATAGAAAAATTAAATAAATCTGTTTTAATTTTTAAGGTATTTTGAAAAACAATTTTCAAATATTGTGAAAGACCAACTGATTTCAAAAAAATTTGAATTGATAATTCTTGGTAATTATTCCTAATTTCAAATATTTGAAGAGTTTAAAAATTTTTAAATTTTTTAAAACTTAATGAATTTATGTGGCGTAAATTTTCAAAAGCTATTTATGCATTTCATTCGACAAAATGGGGTTCGTTCGTAAACTTAAATAAGCTTACGCTACTTCTGAAACTGTACTTCCGAAAAATAATTCATATATCTAATTTTTTATCAAAGAAAGTTTTTGGATTATATTATTTAGTAATATTTACAAAAAAAAAATAATGCTTTAAACATTGATAAGTAAAATATTTTTCTGACGTAATCGATATTTTTTTCATGTACATACATATGTATGTATTATTTGTTTACATAATTTTTTTTAATATTGATATGTTGCTTTTTGGGTTGGTAATAATTGGCATACATATTGTGTCATTTTTATTGTATTTAGTAATTAAAATTTAATGAGCTTAAAGAAGTTTTTAAAATTTCAAAAACATAACGGCAAAAAAGTCCAAAAATGGTGACGTCTCCTCTTGGGAATTGTTTGATTTTTTTTTTTTTAAACTTATATAACATAATCGAAGAGTACGTTTTTGAATTAAAATTGTGGGTCTCTATATAATTTTATATAAACTTTAAGACTTCTACTATTTTGCACTTTTGTATGATAAATTAATGTAAATATATAAACTTAAAGCAAATGCTACTGCTACTTTGGCTACCAAATTTAAAAGGGTTGTAACGTTTGCAGCTAGTGTTCTTACCGCTCATTAGTTAAATAAATTTTCAAAATATGAAAAGTTTTAATTGCAAGTTTCAGTTGATTTATTTATAACCTAAGATTCAAAATAAATTTTTTAGCTATAATTATTGTCAATTTTGGGGTTTACTCCTCAGTTATAAAGTAAAATTCAATTCGAGCTAAAAAGCGCCAACTATTTCAGCTAGCTTAAGTTAAATTTCTTGTAATTACTGACGTCAAACCGTTAAAATCACAATTAATCAGCTGCGGTTCGAACGCATTAAATGACGCGCTTGTCTTTAAAAAATTTTGTTGTTGTTTAGTAGTCCATTATTCCACTTCATTATTTTTGTGCACCTTATTGATTTAAATCTTTTGTGTTTTCCAGCATATAGATATCTTAATTCTTTTCTTCTGCTGCATATCCACATATTTTTGGATGTAAGCGTGTATCTTGATTGTTTTAACGAAAGGTGGCCATTATGTTTGAATATTCTACACGATCTAATGCTATATGAACCAAATTTCCCAAAGTTGTTATATTTGGCCAATTTCTGATATTACGTAACAAGGACATTTATTTTCTTCCTACGCCTCAATATATACAATTTAATATACAATATATTTAATATACAATATAATTGTTGATTATTATATAACAATATATTTATTAATATACAATAATTTAATATACAATATAATATACAATATATACAACAATTTAATATACTTTTCAAGAACAATTTCGTTTGGTTCCATAGGGACTTTTATTCGTTTCTATGCGTCGTAAGCGGGCATTAATTTCTGTAGCGATTGTAGATGCAGAGCTTTCGTTTGTCAATTTATCTAAATCTACTCTATATTGGCTCGGTGGTAATAGAAGATTATGATCCGTTGGAATATCTGTTCTGGGATAAGTACATGCTTTTTTAACTGATATACTAAATGTTCTGTTAACCTGTATAAAATCTATCTGATTCCTGTGATTATGTGACCTACTTTGTTCTGAGGAGATGTCCATCTGTACAATCTGCATGGTGGTAACTTAAAACACGTGTTCATTATTTGGACGTTTTCTTCCTGACAAAATTCAACCAGTCTATCACCACTAGAACTTCTCAAACCTAGACCAAAACTTCCGCACACATTTCTCATATTTTCATTGCCAACCTTCGCATTGAAATCTTCCATAATAAAGTTCAGTTCGTGCGGTTGTGTTAGTTTTACTACTTTAGTAATGTCCGCGTAGAATTCCTCTATTTCTTCATCAGATTTATCACAACCAGGTGCATATACTTGAATGACATTTAATTTCAATGGTTTTGCGTAAACGATCAACAACACCACTCCGTCTGACTCTGGTGTAAATCGAGTTACACATTTTGTTAAGTGCTGCGAAACTATTATTCCTACACCTCTTCTGTAAGCATCAGTATCGTTGCCGGCGTAATACATCTTTGGAAAATATTTCACTGGATCCCGCCAGCTATGGTTCTGATATTCCGAAGATGTCGATATTTAGTCCTTTCACTTCTTTTACTGTGTTGGTGAACTTTGCTGCTTCATACAGGCTTCTAACATTCCAGGTTGCGATAGAGATATCTTTCTAACTTTTATTTGTAGTTTTACCTCCGGGGATTCTTAGAACCCTCATATTACCGGTGACTATGGGCCATGTTTCTATTTCGTTATTCATTATTGATACTTTCTAGGGGGTATACTTTAGTGGTGTCCTGTTGCCTTCTAAAGGGTTTTCAGTTTTCCTCTTACTGTTTACTGCCGTTCCTCTGGGATTAGACGCAGACCAGGGAGTCGACCATTCTGGGTCAAACGCTTCTGGGTTGATTCGAGTGAAGGTGTCTAGATAGTTATACTACCAGGCCTCGCATTCTACTCCCTGCACGGGCTATCTATTGGCTTCTTATATAATAGTTTCCAGAAGGAACCACGAGGAGGTTGACTGATCCGATTTTTCCTTGCGATATCTCAATAATATCAACTATTTCTTAAAATTTATGAAAATGTTTTATAAGCTTTGAAAGACTCAGCAAAAAAAAAGACCAGTTTAACCAAACTAAACCTAAAACACTTCTAATTGTAGATATACATTAGTCTCAGTTTCACTATGAATGTTCAACTTACGCAAAAAAAAACTAAAAATTATGACGGCAACTCCTATTTCAATCAAAAATTCTCTCAATCAATTTTAGAAGTAAAAAATAAAAATGAAGAGTAACAGGAAGAAGTATTACCATATACATATGTATTTTGAATGTATACGAAAAAAGTAAATGCATTCTTTCCAAAAAGTTAATATAAAGTGGAAAATTTCAAATTTCAGATCATTTTCATAGGTTTAAAATTAAAGAAATTTTTAATTCATTTTTAAATATTTAGTTCAAAAAAAAAATTTTTAATAAATCGCATAAAAATCAATAAAAATAAAAAATAGAAATGGTTTTTTTCTTCTCTCTCCTGTAGATAGAAAATAAAAGTTTAAGAAAGTAGCCAAAATTCTGTAAAAAAAGCTTTGAAGTTTCAAAAAATTTCGTACGAAATTATCGGGTTCGAGAAAAAAAAAAAACCGTAAAAATTACATTTTTTCCCAAGTTCGAATGCCTGGTATTCCGAAAGTACATAAAACACACATTCAAGTAATACGTTGCTTTCAAGCCCTATAACTAGCTCTTGTTTATTTGAAGCTTCTATCTTTTTCGGAAGAGAAGTTATAAACATAAAAGCTTGGGCAAGAGAAATTTCGTAAAAGTTTTTTAAAATCACAGTACTTCGGAAACTGTTGAAATTTGACATCCAGCTTTGACCAAAAATTTTATCCCTTTTTGTATGTTCTTAATTATGATAACAGTATGGTACTACATCTTATATAGGATTGTCAGACTACTTCGCTACCCACTACGCTACACAGTACCTTGAAATTATCTTTCTAATTCTTTATTTTATTTATATTTCGTATAACTTTTACAATCCATCCCACCCATTTCTGAGGTGTGAAAAAGTACTGGAGGCATGGGACAAAAGGCATTATATTTTGCGGGTAGGGTCTCAGAAAAAGCAGGAATTCTATATGTTCACCCAAAGTTTTGAGTATTTTCGTTAGAAGCTTTAAAAAATATATTTATACAATTTATGTACTCAAAATTTCATTTCTTTTTGTTTAAACAAAAAATTTTAAATTGCTAATTTCTAATGCCTACATATCTACATACATATATTTGAATAAAATTATTATTTTGTTTATGCCTATACCTTTTCTTTATTTGGAAAATTTATTTACTTTTAATAATATTCAAAACTTTGGGCAAAAATATTTTAGAAAGCTTTGAGAAAAATGTACATACATGCTTATGATGTACATATGTACTTAAAATTTTTGCGAATGTTTTCAAACTATTATAACACTAATTTTTGGGAATTTTTTTTTATAACACTAATTTTTTGGAAAAATTTATCTATTATCTATTTATATATTAAAAACATAAAACAAAAAAAAAATATAGAAAATAATATTTTAAAACAATCCAAAAAAAGAAAATAAAATTCTTTATTTTATTCATATTTCGTCTAACTCTTCAAAAACCATCTTATTTTATATTATATAAAATCTAATTCACAGCTACTCTTGAGGTGTGAAAAAGTATTGGTACTTCTAGAAGGGCAAGAGACATGGGAGAAAAGGTATTAGATAGGGTTTTGCGAGTAGGGTTTCAGAAAAAGTAAAAAATTTCTCCCGCCTACCTCCAACATCAGTAAAATCTTTCAATTTCAAATGTTTTGAAACAATTTTTTTCCAAAACATTTCAATTAAAAATAAAATAAAATAACCGAAATAGGTTCACAAATTGTTTTTTCGAAGTTTCAAACTATTATAATCCAAAATGAAAATTTTCGATTTTTGGTATAACCCAAAAATATTTGTTTATGTTTGATAAATACTTTGAAGTTTGAAGTTTATTACCTACTTTATAAAGTTTTTTCTTTTTGAGAAAAATTTCCTCATTGTTTTTTTTTTAAAGTTTTATCCCAGGCAGACCAATTTTTTTGTAAGGTAAAGCTTTTTTAACTTCATTTTAAATAAGAACAAAAAAATAAAATTATCAATAACAAAAAAGTTCATCTGACAATTAGCATTTTTCAATGATCGAACCTGAGACCGGAGACCTTCATAAAAATCGCATGCTATTTCGTTTTGTTAGTACTACCAGAAATAAGTAAGAGATACTGAATTGAAACAGTTTTTGATATCGTCACCCCACAGTTATTTTGTAATTCGAAATTCGGGTTTTGGGAAATCGCAATTGAAGTTTAAGATAAAATTTCTCAAAATTCACCGAAGATTTTAAAATTTTTATGACTTTTTAGGATAGCTAGCAATATAAAGAAATAATTTACACCGAACTCAAGTGCCTTGGCACAAAGGGGTCGAACTTGTAAAGACTTTTGTCCAGAAACATCTTGTCGTATGTGCATTTTTTTACACAATTTTTCCATATCAATACACGTACGACAAAAGACATATCATTATAATTCTGAAAATTATAGGAAACATATGAAGTTTAGATTATTAATCATTTTATTATTTTAGATTAATAAAATAGTTTTTTTTAAATAGCTTTCGTTTTACAAAATAAAGTTTTATAGCTTGTTACATATTCTTTATGATATGATAGGTATTCAATTCTATATCAAAATAAAAATTAACATATCTTATCAAATATTGAGAACAGTTGTACTGAATTTTTGCATAAATTAATATGGATAATACCGCAACTTAAAGTGGTATATCACAGTCAGATATGGAGTATTTACTCGCTCATAGGAAAAAAAAATTCGTACGGATATCACAGAGTTGACGCGGTAAACTCTATCCTTTCTCGTTTCAATTATATTTTTGCATTTTTTCGCAAATTATCGACTGATCACTCACATTCAAAAAAAAATTGAATAAATTTTGTATTCATTTTAGAAAAAAACGAGAAAAAAATAGAGTTGACCTTGTCAACTCTGTGATACCCGTACGAATTTGTTATCCTAGTTGCGAATAACTAATGTGCCATAACTAAATATGGGGCAGACTATGACTTAAAGTTGCCGTATTACCATATTAATTTATGCAAAATTTCAGTACTATGTGTTTTTCCAAATTCCGGTTGCGCCAAACTACTATTGAAGTTGTATGGCAGCTACGAGAAAGAGCTAAGAAATTTTAGCGAATTTTATCAAGCACATCGGCAATACTAATATATTCACTTGTGTGAAATCTCAATATCACAGCTTTTATAGTTTCTGAGATATAGCCAAATAATTTTTGAAGTTGTATGGCAGGTACCAGAAGGAGCTAATTAATTTCAACGACTTTTATGAGACACATTGGCCCTACTAATATATTCGTTTGTGTGAAATTTCAATACCACAACTTTTATAGTTTCTGAGATATAGCCAAATAAATTTTGAAGTTGTATGGCAGCTACCCGAACCGGTACCCCCGATCACGTCCAATTTAAATAGGGTTCTGGCAATTACTACAATAAATCATCTGTGAAAATTTGGTGAACTTAGCTCAATTAGTTTTTGAGTTATCGTTCGGACGAGTCTATATCTAACACCGTTATTTCTTAGCGTTACAAACGGTAAGGCAAATTTAGTATACCCTTCGAACATACGTTCGTACGGGTATAACGAGATATGCAATACCGAATGATTTTTCTCACTTGAAAATCATATTATACAAATATATGATAATTCTCACTTTCCTCTCACTTATTAACACCTTATAATTAAATTTGAACACTTTTATTACATTTTGTTAAGTAAAGTCTTAGCATAATATTATTTTATAATATATTCTAATAATAAACAAGATTTTCCTTAAAAAGTAAATGTTTAATTTTTTTTTAAATAATGTTTTATTTTATGCTTACAATACTAATAGATATTATTTTAAAGCTATAAAAAAATTATCTGATTTTATTATTAGTTACCTGACATACCTGGTGCTTGTCATTGTTTTTTTCAAGAAATATAGAAAACTGTTTTGTTTTTTATTAGGATCCTTTTCATCGCCCAACTGCCAAAAAGTTTGGAATATTTTGTTACTGTAGTCATTATCAAAAGTGTAAAGATAGAAACACGTAGATTGGCAAGGTAGTTTTAATTTTTTTTTGAACATTTATATATAAATGTTCAATAAAATGTTATAATTATATACCTTCTCCTTATTCGCTTGTTTTGCTTCCTATTTTTAATATGAAGCTGTCGCTTACAAGTTGTTGAGTGAAATTCGGGTACCACAGTGAAATTCTAAAAATATTAATTAAAGCGATATATAATATGTTACAAAAAAAGAAAAAACACATGAAATATATGAGGATATTATACATTTTGTAAAGCTAAAACTTGTGGACTTTTTCGAGATTATTTCGACCGAAAGTATACGT